GAAATGAAGCTAAACAAGCTAAGCATGCAAGCCACCAAAATAAGCCATTTATGCAAGCATTCAAGACAACAAGGAGATGGGATGACCCTCTCCTATTTAAGACCCTCTCCTATTTAAGACCTCAAAACCACCTTTCCACCACTGAAAATCCTCTGGATTTCAGTGGTAGAAAGGTCATGCAAAGCTAAGAACAAAGGCCAAAAAGGATGGCCTAAAACAAGACCTAACAAGGCCTTGGAGGGGGCTAAACAACCCCAAACCAAGAAGAGACCTTAAACAAAGGTCTAAAGCAAGTAAAAATAGAACTTTTATTAGTTAATTGCTAAGCTTAAAACAATAAGCAAGAAGGGATAAAAGCTTAAGAAAGAATGGGGTATTAAAAGCAAGTTTGCTCACCCTTGAAGAACACCTCCAAGAACACAACACCAGCAGGTTTCTCTGATCAAAATCACCTCAAGAACCCTAACACTAACTACTTAGAACCTCAGCAACCAAGGATGGTGTTCTACTAGGTGTTCTAGTGCAAAAGTATGAACAAAACAACCTTTAAGGCACAAACACATACACAAATATGTGAAGAGAGGGAGATATAGAGATAGATAGATACAACTCTCTAACCCTAAATTTTCAGAACCTCTGAGAAGGGAGGAGGGGCTCCCTTCTTATAGAAGTCCAAATTCTAAGCTTCCTAAGCAAGCTAAGGCAAGGGACAAATCCCTTCATACACGTGTATGAAAGGGGGGGGGAATTGTGGATGCCAGCTGTGATAGCTGGCATAAAATATCTGCAAAAAGTAGATGAGTAGGGTTCGACCAGAAAACATGGCCGATCGACCAACACAAGGGCCGATCGACTAAAAAGAGTGCCGATCGGCCAACACTTTTGGTCGATGGCAAGAGAACAGGGCCGATGGCTTCATGCCTTGGTCGATGGGTTGAGGTAATGGCCAACAAGCCACCCTCTTCCCTCTTCTCTCAAAAGCAAAAATGCAAGTGCTTGGTCCACAACCAAGCACAAAACAGACAAGTTGAGAGATCTTGAGGCAAGGCGCGCGGCCGAGACCTCCAGGAACTCAAAACGAACACGAGCATGGATAATCATTGAGTGTTTAAACGATGACGTCTAAGTCTTGAGAACGGTCAAAAATGGGGTGTTTATAATAGCACCCACCCATAGTTTTACAAGGGATGGATTTTGGAGAGAAAACTCTTAGGAAAGAACTAATTTCCCTTCTCCATTATTAACCTTGAGAGTGAAAGTGGGAGATCCATGGGAGAGCCTTGCCATTATTCTCTCTCTAGCTACTTTGCCTTCTTCTTCACCCAATCTCTTATCTCCATCATCTCTTTGCTTTTGTGTTCTTAGTTGAGACTATTGAAGAATCTAAGCCTCTCATCATCTTCTAGCGAATTCGAATTTTTCTTCAAGGATCTTCGAAGATCTTCGAATTTTTCAATGACGTTCTTGAACCCTCTCATACACTTTGTTGCGCTCCGACTATGGTCGTGTCTGATGTGATGGGTTAGCAACTCTACATATTGTCCAACCATTTATGTTGTGTTTGGATGGAATTGCTGCAAAAAAAGAAAAAAGAAAAAAAGACAGGTGTCCAATTGATGGGTTAAGGGTTTGAAAGTCCTAAATTTAAGTGCACAACTGTTTGTTTTGAAAGAAGGAAAAGTTTCCAGTTAAAACTAGGACCAACTATAAGTTTGTATTTATAATTTTCTATTTATATTTACCACCAAAAAAATATATATTGAATACTAGATAAAAGCTTCTGTATTCCTTTTATTAAATTTTGTTAACTACAAAAAAATTAATTCATTTGTTTAGAAAAAAAAAATGTTTTCATTTAATCCAACAACAATCACCATCACTACTCACCCTTTTCATCATAACCACTAGCCACTACCGTTTACTCTTTCATCATCACCACTAGCCACTGCATTCAACCAGTGACTTCCTTTGACCATCACCATTGGTCACCAAATCGTCACTTGACCACACTTCAAGCGGTTGACTACCATCATTGACCGTCAACAATCACCCTTCGCCACCGCACAAAAGGTGTAACAATTTGGGAACTGTCTCGGAGAGGGGTCCGGTAAAGTAGACACATCTGTGAATATATATATACTACTTGCACTTGGATAGAAAGACCCTATGTGTGAGAACCCCCATCACATATTATATTTATATCTATTTAATTCTAATGTTAATTATGTGTTCAGTGTGTAATTGTGTGCATATTTGTTCATTATTGGAATATCTATTATGATTTCTTCTTCAAATTTGAAATTAAAAGTTTTAACAAATTCAAAAATCGAAATTGATTAGTTTAACGAGAATGGTATAATTTTTAGAGCTTATTAGGAAATTTGATTAAAAATTGATTCAATTCAGAAAAATTAAGTCTTTATTAATTAACTTAAGTTGCAAATAATTAACCTAATCCTTGATTAAGGGCTTAAGGTAATCAAACATATAAATATGATGGAAAATGTTGATTTAGCTCATTATAAACACAAAAATCTACTAAGATTAATCTAGAGAGAGAGAGAGAGGGGGGGGGCAAGAAACTTGGAGATTTTGGCAAAAGATTGAAGAATTGAAAAGAAGAACTCAAATTCTTGCTAAATTGAGCACAACTGAAGACTTTAGGTTAGTGTTTGATTCTTAATTCATGAATTTAAGTCATCTAATGAGTGAATTCAAGAAGATAATGTAATTAAATGTGAGAAATGAGCTAAAGGTGATGACATTGAAGTTAATTTATACATGCATGCATATATGAGTGTAGAATCATCATTTTGATAATGAGTTTTGTTACCTATGCTAGGTTTAGAAGTTGAATTATACATGCATTCATGAATCATGTTGATTTGAAGCTCAATTTCATATTTTGAGAATTGTGAAAGAAGAATTTGAAAATAATTTATACATGCATGAAGGTTAGAGTTCCAATTATAAAGAATTCATGAAGTTTTGAACATGGGGTTTGAAATAGGTTTTGTATCATGTTTTTGAAGGTGTTTATGTGATTTAGAACATGTCATACAAAGGTTTTTGGCATTGAACTTGTGTTTTAAAGCTCAAATTATGTTTTGAAAAATGCAAAATTTGACCACACGGCTCGAATAAACAAGTTGTCGCTCAAGCGCACATCTTATGCATCCAACATTTTTGCAAAGACATTGTATATGGCTCGAGCAACCAAATGGCCACTTGAGCGACCTCAGTTTGTTTTGCACAATTGGCTCGAGTGACCATCGAGCCTAGAATCGGACCAATTAGTACTTTTGCGAACCATGTGGTCCGTTCGAGTGAAGTGTCCTGTCTCAAAATGTTTTGAAAAGTCATATTCTGTCCACAATTGCATTCTCATTCCTTTTCAAACATTCTTAAGCATGAATTGAGCCTCCCAAATAAATTAATGAGTTAGAATGAGACTTAAATCAATTGAATAAGTTAAAAAATAATTCGATTAAACAATGTATTCTAATGTGTGTATGTGTTTATGTGTTATGTAGGTTGATCCATGGAGACGTGATAGCAACTCAATCACTGTGAGTTTTCATGTATATTATTTTCTAAGTGTTACCAATGTGGTAAGTTTTTTTGAACTTATGATTTTGTGCTATGAATGAGCCTTCTATCAGTCCGATTAACATAATATCTGCGAATATGATTGATGAGATATGAATGTGCATGATGGAAAGGTTGTTATGTATAATTGAAATGGACCTAAGATCGTTCTGTATATTTGATAAGATGAACCTAAGGTCGTTTTGAATATTTGATAAGTCTGAATATCCGATATAAGATGACCAAATGGTCATATACAGTTGTAAATGATTGGACCCAAGATCGTTCCGCCAAGTATGATTTGTCTGTTTTGAACTTCTGATATATGTTGGACCCGAGGTTGTTCTGTTATGACAAAAATTTGAGTATTTAGTTATTTACATTAAATATTAGAACTCATTCATATAATCTCTTTACTCTAATGTTATTCAGTGGGTTTTAGCTCACTCTGTTATATATATGTATGAAGATGAGCAATGGGATGTCCAGTCTGAGTGAACCTATGAAAGAGTACCCAAGTTTTTGTGAAACCAACTATGGAGTGCCCCGGCAAGGCTTTTGTAGTTTTTTTTTTTTTTAGTTAAGTTTGACCATACTTTGTATATATTTCTTTGGATTTAAGAGTTAATGACTTGTACTTATGAATGATCTTTGGTTTGTAATATCTATATGTATCTGATGGGATGTGAGTTATTAACGTATAGTTTTTTTGTTTATACCATATATGCATAACTCATTGGACAAAATTTTATAGTTTTGCTTCCGCCTCTGGCCCCATATATTTAAATATGATTTGAATTATGTCTGAAGCAGTAGGTAATCTCATGATTACTAGCCAATTATGATCCAAACCTCTAAGGGTGGGTTCGGGTCATGACACTATGAAGCTTTATTGTTCCCTGGGATTGGCTTTGAGCCTTTCTTGCGCAACTTAGGTGGAAAGCGAAGAACACCATCTTTCGAAGTGCCTGAGCCATACCACTCTGGAAGAATTAAAATTCTAACCTTATGTCAGGACCTACGGGCTAAGAATAGTCTCAGGTAAACAATTTCTATGGGGCGTATGCCTCCCAAAAGGTGACACAGTGCAACAACCTCGAGCCGCCATAGGGAAACAACCTCCAACCACCACCAATTGTCGGCAGAAACCATCTTTGACCACAACCTTTAGTGGTCAACAACCACCATCTTTGAGTATCGACAATCACTTTCCACTAATCACGCCTTTTATTTGTTGTCAAAACAAGTTTTTACATGAATAGACCAAATATGTATTTTGTTTTCATATTTATCCAAAAGATATAGAAACATATTTAATATTTTCTGTAAATAAAAAGGATAAATTTCAAACATTACTAAACAAAACCTGTGTCTGTTTCTGTTCACAACACAAACACTGAGCCGGAAAGAGATTTCAGCGTTGAAAACAACATGAAAATTTCCATTTATTCATTATGCACAAATCCATAGTTCAGAGGAAAGGAAGCTGCAAAACCCGTGTTGAAGAATTCTCAGCACTTGGCAACAACCATACATGCAATACATAGAATAGCCAACCAGGGGTGGAGAGAAAAAATCAGTTTCCCTGGATGTATGTATGTATATAAATTAACAAAAACAAATGTCCAGCATGAGACTGCCTCTTGAACAATTTTAGCTTGGCCTTTGTAGTCATAGAAACTCCAGTTTCTGCTGCTTCCAATAATCTGTTACAAAATGTGGTATTTTTTTACAATAATCACTCACCGGTCCTCCTCAAGAACGCTAAAACGCCTAACCCAGCGATCAGAGCAGCACCAGCAGCAACAGTGGTGTACGCGTTGGCCCATGCATCTGATTGAGCATAATCTAGATTTGCAGATCGTGAACCTCTCCTACGACCACGTGTTCCGGAATAATCTAAATGCAATTTTAATCCCTGTTACAAGGTCAAATCAAATGTATGTTAGGTAGGTCTGGTTCACTCTGAGGGAGATTAAAAAAAAAAGAAAATTCTGTAGTTAGCATCATCTTGACATAGTTAAACCGGGTGCCTATATTTACACCCATCATTTCTCTTCTCTTTTTTCTTTTTTATTACAATTTTGTTCCTCTCCAAAATTACCATTAAGACCCAAACCCTAAAAATTGAAGACACAAATTTCTCACCCCACCCATCCCTTCCCCACCACCTCTACCAACCATCACCACTGCCAGCCTCTTCTTCACCCAGACCCTCCCCACTCCCCTGCAAACAGCGACCCTTACCTCCTCCTTCAAACCCTAGATATCTCTCTCTCTCTCTCTCAGAGCAGAGGGTTGCAGGAGTGGGGGCAAGGGTGGGGAGCTGCAGGGGTGGAGAGCTGGGGTGGTGGCGAGCTATAAGGGGAATTGCAGTGGTGGGAGGCTAGGGAGGGGCTGAGTTGCGACAAGGGAGGGGCTGAGTTGTGACAGTGGAGGGCTTAGCAGTGGTGGTCAAAGGTGGAGGAGGTGGTGCTTGGGTGGGAGTGGAGTTAGGGTTTTGAATGTACATAGCTGTCAAGAAAAAGATGAGTTGGATGAGGATATATTGGTAATTATGAAGGGTATATAATGAGATAAAAAGAGAATTTTAAAATTTAAAAGGTGGTGTAAGTAGAAATGGGGTGTATGTGTGGTGTAAAATGTAAATAGAATCACTTTTTAAAATCCTTGTCCTCAAATGCTCTGTTCATTATGGATAGAGGTTGAGATGCTACACCAACCAAATAAGGCATGAGGACCATTCTTACCTTCCAACCGGCTAACCTTGCATGGTCCACAGCTGCAACAAGATCACTATCTGATGCAAGTACAACCTTGTCATTGTCTTCATCTTCATACTGCAAATGTGATCAATCATGAGCTTAAAAGTTGACATGACGAAAATTAGAGCATCCAAAATAAGACATGATATTGATATATACCAAAATATGAGGCAGGTTGTTGCGGTCAATGTCATCCCCCACCCTCTGAAGGATTGCAGTTATGAGATCTGCCAAACTCCGTGTATCTGAACTCAGTACCAGCAAAAGAAATTCAGTTAGTCATAGAGTTGTTGGTTCACACGACATGGATACTGAAAGTCTTTACTTGAAATAAGTGTTGGGTGTAGTATCTTGTATTCTGTGGGACTTGTACAATTATTGGTGTTTTACATATATTTGGATTAGCTTGTGAAGTCCATAATTCACTAGGAATTTAGGGCATGTTTGATTGGATGGATTAGAGCATGGAATTGAGATTATTAATCTGTGGGCCCAATTATCCTATGTTTGTTTTAACATTTTGATTTAGGATTATTAATCCAACGGATAATTAATCCAACAAATTTGTAGGATTATTAGTAATGGGGCAAGGGTGAGATTATTAATCAAATGGATAATTTATCCTATTAAATCCAATTGGATAGTAAATACCACACTAATTTGATAGGATTATTAATACCTCACTATTAGTGTTGTGAATCAAACATGGCCTTAGTGTGTAGGTTATATTAATTGTATGGGACTAGGATTTCTATGATTTGCCTATAAATAGGGAACTTATAGGAATCCTAGAGATGTGAGATTGAGAGGATTGGTAGAGATGCAAGGGAGACGGAAAAATACTGGGGGCACCAGGTGTTAACGAGGAAGTGGGTGTAGCTTTGGGGCTAAGTTACCCTTGAGCAGGGAATCGGAATTGTTTTAGGGCTTGAGTATTGGTGTCAAGTATTGGGGTACTTTTTGGTCTCATGGTTGTACTCTCTTCTTCAGCTTATAGTGGATTATTTCTCTCATCTGTGGACGTAGGCAGGTTGCGCCAAACCACGTAAATCTGTGTGATTGTGTTTTCTCTTTGAGATGTGCGTGGTGTGCTTCCATTCACATTAGGGGATGTGCAATAAATCTGAAAATAAGTGACATGCACAGACGATTTCCTCAGTCAAAATCCTGACCCAATATGATAAAGCTAACTACTACTATATCTTACAATAGCAGTGAACTCAAATCCAGAACTCAAGACCATTGGAACATTCAAATTTTATGCTGAGCCTTGAAGACACACGGTTCACATTTATGAGCAGAATGCATGCCACAGAAGACAGAACAACCCTATGTTTACAACCATATGATGGCTAGCCAACATGACAAGTAGGAGAAGTTATCTAGTAGGTCCAACCTACAACATAGCTGTGTGCCCACCTTATAGGAAGAGGACACACACTATGTCTAAAACATAGGAGAACAAATGGGAAAAGGTAGTTACATGGTCTATACAATTGCAAGGGCACACCAAGCAGGATATAGGCCAGACCTACTAGATAATTTCTGAAAGAAGCATACCACAAATGAATCTATGCATTCGGCCCTTTTTATCTTGAATCTTGAAAGCAAAGGTATTAGGTAGACTTGACGAAGGAAAGGGAAGAGATCTTGCTGTCTCAGCACTTTCAGAAGCCATTTTCAATGAACCTTCACTGAAATATGCCCAATAATATATTAGTAAATAAACACCAAAATTGAAAATGTAACATCATATTGAGAGCAAGGTCTACAACCTTCGTGAATCTTCTTCATCACCCAAAGGAGATAATTCCATGGCAGAATCCCAAAATTTTTGCATCATATTGCTTGCAGCCTCATTACTAACCCCAGCAGTGCTTCCCACCTGGTGAATGTAGGGAATGACAAGACCGTATTATTCTCCACCAATTGGAAAATAAATACACAATTTCAAGGTAGAAAAGGAATCTCAAATATAGTAAGTTCAAATAATTTCTTTATTCTGTAATTTTTTTTTTTGGGTAAGTAATATTATGTAATTTCTTTATTCTGTAATTCAATGATCATGCAGTATTATCAAATTGGCCGGATACCGAGTTATCAAAAAAAAAAAACAAAAATGATCATGCAGAATTAGCTATTTGTATTTGTAAACACTCTGTTGAGGGTGAGAAAAGAAAAGAAATAATTGTGATCTCTCATCTAGGTAAGAAAAGAAATAATTGTGATCTCTCATCTAGGTAAAGAAAAGAAATGATTGTGGTTTCTCACTATCATGTTTGGATGAGTAAGAAAGCAAAGCATGTGAGAGAATGATATGAGTGGGAATTTTTTTTTTCTTTTCATTTTAAAGGGAAATCTTGGTATTATAAATATTTTACAACCAATCAACTTGTTTCTTACCAAATCTCACCACTTTTGGTGAGAAATAAAATAGCTTAGTAAGGGAGTTCTCTTTCTCAACATTTCTCACAATTTCTCACTCAACTTATAAACCAAACATGAGATAGGAGTTCTCTTTCTCACCATTTCTGATCATTTCTCACCAAATCACTCCAACATCCAAACGGAGCGTTAAATTTCAGTAAATGAGAAAATTTGAAGTGGCAAGAGTTTCTTGATCATGACAAACACCAAAGAATTGCATTAAGGATCTGTAGGACTGTTTCTAAGAATCTGCAGAAGGAGCAAGTAGGACAAATACCAAAAAGGTAACAATATATATAATGATGCACATAAAATGACATGCAGAAAAAACTGCGTAGTTTTTTAGTAGGACTGATGATGTTAAAATTATAATGACACAAAGGCAAACGATTGAATGGCACACCATGCTAAAAATATGTTTTATCTCTTTGACAGTACAAATTGCAAAGAGAATGATTGAAAATATGTTTTTATACCTCGAATTATGAAGGATCAATATCATTTCTAACAAGTAACCCTAATAATAAATGACAGACCAAGAAAGACAGAAACTTTACTTACTGTAGCTACAGCAGCATGAGTGATGTGAAGTACATCAACAACAGCAACTACAACTCCATCTGTATTGGGCCATCTATAGTTGTCATAAACTACAATGGAAAAATCATATGAATTTCTATACAACCTTTTCTGTAATTGTGAAGATAAATTACCTCTATCGACGACAGGAAGGTGTAGAAATTTTCCATCATGCATGGTATGCAGAGCATCAACAATGGGTGTATCCACACTTGCACATTCAGGATTTGGGGTCATCACCTAGAATTAAATTGGAACACATGATGCACAAGTTTAAGATTAAGAAAAGCATAAACATGACATGCTCCATACTCCCCAGCATAAACTTATAGAAGTTTCGAGTGCGGGGTTATGAAATAATACACCCAACACTAATTCCCACCAGAATGAGCAAATCACCTTCTCCACTAGAGTGGACTCTGGAGGAAGATTTTGAGCTATTACCCGCATCAAGAGATCCTTTGACCTGTCAGAAAATTAGAAGGCTCATATGATAATTCATATTTTACTTTACTGTGAAATTAATTATTGATGTTTGCGTAAATGATTTTTTGGACCCAAAGACCTATTTGCAATGTAAAGTTCATGGAGAAAAAACTCACGTTAGAATTCCCCGTGGTTTGTTTTCAACTATTACAATGGCAGAGCTCATGCGACATTCAAGCATCTTCTTTGTTGCCACTAGTACTGTGTCAGTAGGTGAGACTGTTACAATCCTGACGATGTCACAATTGATAAAGGAACTTGCATTATGTTTAATGTTGGGAAAATTTATCAACAATAGCCACATAATATACTACATAAAACCAATGATGGGAAAAAGAAAAAAGAATGAAGACAAAAATACAAATAAACAGACAGAGAAGATATTACCTACTTTGAATTCTCAGAAATTATTGTAGACAAAGAGGGCCTAAACATTCGCTCACGAATTGTTTCAACGAACGTATTAGGACCTATTCATCAACCCCAAAAAAAATAAATAAAATAAAGAATCATTTCCCCGAGAAAGACCAAATAAACTAACAACATTCAAATGAGATAACAAGAATGTCTTCTAGAAAATATTTCCAATATACACTCTCGACGAACCAGAAACAGATGCTCCCCAGTGTTTTTCAACACCTTCAACAGCTGCCGCAATGGCCTTTCCCTTTTCAGCTGCCCTTTCCATACGTGCAATGGCATCATACAAACACTTTGCTATATCAAGTAAAGCAATGACCTCTCCTTTCTCCACAACAGGCAAATGTCTGAATTTTCCTGAGGCAAGATATCACGACCATATACAACAGGAGGAAATTAGGAAAGTACATTAGACAAATAATATGACATGGCCTTTCTAATCAGTACTAACCTAGCACCATCTTTTGCAAGGCTTCCACAGCAAGAGTGTCAGAAAGTACAAAAACTGGATTCCTAGTCATAACCTTGGAAACAGGTGTCTCCTCAAGATTCAACTCATGAGCAATAACTCTTGTTGCTATATCCTTCAACAATATTATAAACAAATAAAAGAAGTAGAAGAAGGAATAATCGAAGACAAACCAAATTTAAAAATAAGACTAAAAAATAGGTAAGTGCAGCACACAAGTCTTCTTTTGCTCAGCTATGTATTACACAAGTGATTAAAATCAAACCTTGTCTGTTAGGATTCCACAGAGCAACGCATTTGAGTCAGTAAGTAACAAAGCATCAACTCTCCGAGCAGCCATTCTACGGCAAGCTTCATGTATACTTGTAGTTTCAGGTACTGTCAGGGCCTTTGACAGCCTCAATCGCCTCACTGTACGCTCTCCAGTTAATCCCCTGTACCAAATGCAAGTGGAAATAAAGAACCATCAGTGAAATTTTAATTTCAAATTTTCAACTTTTTACTTGTTTTGGTTTCTTTACTGTGGCACTGTGGCAGAGTGAATTGTTTGCAAAACACTCGTGAAAATGCTTTGTAAGCTCAATTATCTTATCCGACAAAGAAAGTTGTATAACTTAGGGCCCTCTTTGGCGCTGGGACACATTTAGCTTGTAACTGTTTTTGTGTCCTTTAAAGTGCGTTCTAGTATATTTGGATGCATCTTCAAAGTACTTTGACTTTTAGTTGTTTGTCGCTAAAAAGCACTTTTCAGAAGGTGCAGCAAGCAAACAGTACCAAACCTCTTTACAAAAGTCTCTTTTTTATTCTTTATTTGAAAGCACTTCATTGGAAGCCACCACACCACCAAACAGGGCCTTAGTCTCTACTTAACCATCTTGTCTATTGACAATAGTTCATGCCCTTGCTATCTAGAAGGAAGAAAAATACCTCAGTTTTTCAATTTATTCTGACGAAGTATATAGACTCAAAGAATGTTGAACCAAAAATAAATATATGTGTGAAACCAAAGATAAAGAAAACTCAAGTCACACAGACACAAACAAGGCAGTTCCACACACCCACAGGCTGAGAAACAAGCTTAGTTGTGTGCCAAGGATTTAGCTGCTCTATAATATGATCATGTGGGTTTTTATTTATCAAATAGAAAACATATGTTCATGCAGGTTTCGACCTAGGTATATTTTTGTTTGCACATTGATTCATGTCATAGTTTGTTTGGTTCCATTTTAACCAAAAGTCATTGGTGCAAATCATGTCTGTTTTCTAACAGGCTGATTTCTTCCTTTTTGGGTCTTAAACACATCAAATCTAAAGGAATACTCATGACTTCGATCAAACCTTGTGTCGACACCTCATTCACCTTAATTAGGAGACTGGATGGCCCCTAGATAGGTACAAAAGCCTACTTATCTCAGTTTTAGCAGCTATACTATATTTACTAAGCAGCCTATATCTCTCTACGTCTTGAACTCATGTCCCATTCAGGGGCTCAGGTTCAACTTTCATATCATAAATGATCAAATCCAACTCTTGAGCCACTGACCATTTCCCAGAAGCCAAGTGGATAATAACTTGGGGATCCCCTTCAAGGACAATGGAAGAGAACCTCATATCAGCTAACAGATGCAACACTTCTCTAGCAGCAAGGTCCTCTAGCCACTACGCCTAGTCCTCCATGAGTAAATCCCACTGCCCCATCAAAATTCTCTTTCTAAACAGATGTAAGCAGATCAGAGTTTCACCTTAAGATATTAATGGGAAATTTTTTTAGAAAAACACACCGTCCAATCTGAATATCTAATTCCATGAATTATAACAATATAATAGTAAAAATTGTTTGAACATTATTGAACGAGAAAGATTATTAAGCAAATTGATTCAATTGTCTACAACGAATGCAAGAGAAGCTCCAACAATATGGGAGAACAGTAATTCAATAAAACAAGAAGACATGTATGTGCATAATAGATATATGTAGAGATTGAAAGAACATACATGGAACGAGAAGAAGATAGAGATTTTCGGGCCGCGTCGAGGCTACCGTTCTCGGAAGTTTTCTTCTTCGCCTGCGAAGATGAGCTCGTCAACGACATACTTCTCCTCGAAGAACCTCCTTGACTCGCCATATTCTCCGATAAACAACCCTAGAAATCTCGAATTCCTTGTCTCCTTCGATTCTCTGTATAAAACAAGCAAAAAGAACAAAGAATCAACCTCAAAAGCACGCAAACGGGCAAAAAATTAGTCCTGAATCATTTGCGAAATCTGCTAAATCAGAAATTAGCTGACAATTCAAGTTTGAAATAATAAGAGCTCAATAACGATTGTTGAATTGAAAGTCCGATGGATATATACGCATGAATTGATCTCCGCCCCTCAGGAAAGCGCGAGGGGGGGAGAGGAAGGTGGGGCGATCGAGGCCGGGATTCCGATCGGAGGAATGGATTTTCCAGGAAAATGATTGAATTTTCCGGGAGAATGGACACGTTCGGCCGTTTGAGATACAAACAGAGGAATACCCTAACGGGAATGGTGGATTGGTGAAATTGAATTTGTTCGAAGATTTAAATCGCACGAACTCTGCCATGTCCAACCAATACAATTCCACCACGTATCAGATTCTCTAACACATGAAAAAAGCTCTATAAATTTCTTTTGGTTTTTTAAATTGTCCCCATCTTATCATATAAGGAAAATGAGTTTTTTTTTTTTTTTTTTTTTAAGTGAGAAAATGAGTTTTTTTTTTTATTATTATTTTAAGTGAGAAGGCTTGTAAGAGCTTAAAAATTTCATACTAATTTTATTAATTTTTTAATTTTAAATAATTGAAAAAACCTCTATTGATTAGCTTTTATTTAACCATATAAAAATAAAATTCTAATTAATTTATGATTTATTTGATAATTTCATATCGAGAAAATAATGAATAAAAAAATGAGTTGTTTCACTTATATAAATTAAATCTTATACTTTTATTTAGTATTGTAGTGTTGTGCATGTTTCAATTTAATATAGTTTAAATTTTAAAATAAAAATGTAAGTTGGTTGGTCTTTTGACATAACAATATAAAAATAAAATTTAAATTAGTTTATGATTTATTTGATAATCATACATCGAGAAATCTTATTATATAAGGAAAATGAGATTTCTAATAAAAAGGCTTGTGAGGACTTCAAAGTCTCATACTAATTTTCTTAATTTTTTTTAATTTTAAACAATTAAAAAAAATATCCATTGGCTAGCTTTCATTTAACCATATAAAAATAAAACTCTAATTAGTTTATGATTTATTTGATAATCTCACATCGATAAAAGAATGAAAAAGTGAGCTGTTTTACTTATATAAATTGAATCTTATACTCCCATTTAATATTGTAGCGTTGTGCATGTTTTAATTTAATATAGTTTAAATTTTAAAATAAAATGAAAGTTGGTTAGTCTTTTGACCTACCATATAAAAATAAAATTCTAATTAGTCTATGATTTATTTTATAATCCCACATCGGGAGAAGAAGGAAAAAATGAGTTGTTTTAATCTTATAAAATGAATCTTATACTCCCATTTTTAATTTTAAAATTAAAATAACATTTAAAAGTTCTAATTAATTAATTTTTGTATAAGTTAGTTAGTCATTTGACCCAACCGATTAGAATTAACTATTTTCGGTTTGACTGATTTGTAGGTTTAACCACGATTTCTTGTACTGGTTTTCTTAATTTTAGACAATTAATTTTTTTTTCATTGACTAATTTCTATTTAACCATATAAAAGTAAAACTATAATTAATTTATGATTTATTTTATAATCCCATATCGGGAGAATAAAAAAAAAGTGAATTGTTTCACTTATATAAAGTAAATCTTATACTTTCATTTAATATTGTAGTATTGTGCATAGTTCAGCTTAACACAGTTTAAATTTTAAAATAAAAACTCTAATTAGTCTATGAAACGGTTTATTTTATAATCCCACACCGGGAAAAGAAGAAAAAAATGAATTGTTTCCCTTATGTGAAGTGAATCTTATACTCCCATATCTATATATTATATAAGCAAAATGAGGGTTTAACCACAAGGGTTCCTATCTAAAAAAAAAAACCACAAGGGTTGTGGAAGCTCTAAATTCTCAACGTGAATTTTTATATTTTTAAATAATTAAAAAACTTTCTATTGATTAACCCAACTATGAAAAAAAACCCTCTAATTATCCTTTAAATTTGAATTTAAAAATTTAAATATCCCACTAATATAGAAAATCAATTCAATTAAAAACATAAAAAAATAAAAATGATATATACTTAAAAAAAGATTTATTAATCAGTTCATTTATTAAAATAAAATTAAAAAAACTTTAATTATCTATACTTTTGAATTTCAAAATTCAAAAATATATATCCCACTTAATATGAGAAGTATTGATTTCATCCAATATTTCCTTCCTAAAAATGATAAAAGACCTAAATCTTTAGAAACCCTAAACAACCTAAAAATCCAATTTAAACAAACTAGGGGTGCAACTCGAGCGGGCTCAACCCGAGCAACCCGAGCCCAGCCCGAGTTTTTTTAGGGCTTGGGCAACTATATCTTGCAATCTGGACGGGCTTGGGCAAAATTTTGATGCCCGAATTGCAATTCGGGCCGGGCTTGGGCAGAACCAATGGCCAACCCGAGCAACCCGAACCCGAATTGAATTTAATATATTATATAAATATTTAGAAAAAACAGCCAAATCCATCTTGGTCCAACTAATCCAACTTCCACAAATAAATTAAAAGGAATTGATAATTCTACCACTTCCCAAATTAGTAAACCTGTTTATACTACTACCTCACATTTCCCTGAAGAAGAAATAGCTTCAAATAATTCCCCAACTCAAACTGATTTCGAAGGATTAATACCACCTGTCAATCCTCAGCTAATGACAATCACAAAAGATTTTACTCCTGATTTAGATAAATTACTTATTGAATTCAAATCTAAAGAAAATAGATCTAAAAGACATGCTTATAGTGCTAAATATTTCATCTTCAGTTGATATTTCAGAAGGGACACTAGATGTACTATGTCGAGAAGATTGACTTCGATTGAATTTAATATTAACGGATCCATCATGGTTTTGTTGGATATGTTGAATGTCTTGGATTGAAGATTGTTGTTGATTATGTTTGTAATTTTCATTGACAGTAACCCATTGATCAGGTAAATTAATATCTTTCCATTCAATCATGTGAGGAATATTAATATTTGATTCATTAGTACTACTACTTTGGATTAATAAAGTTTTATCCTTGGGACTTTTATGTAGAGCATGAACATTTAAATTAGTTTGCATACATTTATAATGAACACGATAAATTAAAGCAATATTATGAGAAGAATCTAACATTTCAGTATATTCACCATGTAATTGTATGTTTAGTGTTAATGCTTTAAGAATATGTGGATCTCTTAAGCTTAAAGTAAAATCAGGAAAACAGTTAAAATGCACTGGACCTTTATTAAGACCAGTTTCCATCATTCCCATTAAACTAGCATTGTAATTAAGAAAACGAGCATCTCTTAAACAGAGTAAAACAGAAGTATTTTGTCCTATCATGGTTAATGGATTGACACCAATTTGAATTAAACCAATATGCATAAAATTGTAACCACGATCCAAATGTCGTTTGATTAATTTTTTATCAAATAACTGACAGGTTTCCCTGGGTTTTTCTAAAGCATAAACTTGTTCAATAGTTTTAACATGGAGAGTAACTTTAAAAACATCTTGTATAAAAGAAGTTTTATAAATCTCTTTAATAGGTAGTTTGGGAATATTCCATCCAGAATTAATCTGATCATTTTGTATTTCAACATCTTCTTCATTAATTAAGATGCCTGGATTAGGTTATGGAAGTAAAGGTAGTTGACCTAGAACTGACTGATGAGTTACTTCTAAATAATCGATTCATTGTGTTGATTTAATTAACAAGTTTTACAGATATCTTAATACATACCCTATTCTTGTCAATTTTACCACATACCTAGTATACATACATACCCTATCTTTAAACCCAAAGCCTGACTCTGCCTAAACCGAAGGACTTACAGAAGATTGGGAAGAAGTGGGTGACTTAAACTAGGTGGATAGAATAGACTGATCTTGTGGGTGATTAAGATGACCGAAAACAGGATTAAGTAAACAAACAAGGAAGACGATTAATCAGAAGTAACTAAACAGTTAGAAACAGGATACAACATAACCTGGCTCTGATACCATCAAGGCGGAAGCATAAGCATAAGTATAAGCATGGATTATGAAGGAGATTGGATTACGAAATCAAAACCAGACCAAACATGGGAATAACACATTAAAACTTTGATACATAAAATAACTTACAATTGTATTAGTAGCAACTGCAAGGATCTTAAATAGGTATAACAGGAAACTGGTAAGGCTCTCAACACTCTGGTTTTTCTTACAACAGAAATGGAGAAGAAAATTGAAGAATGCCTGAATGCTTACAATTGATTACAATATAAAGAAATAAAAAAGCAAAACAGTGAGCATGTGAATTCTGAAAGCAGCAGGCCGAGCAGGTGAAAGCAGATGCTGTCGGATGCTTTCGGTGGAGTGATTACACAACTGAGCAGCCTTTAGTAAAAGTTGATTGGTTGAATAGTGACGGTGAAACAGTAAAAGTGAACAGTAGTTTTTACTATTCATTACTTTCGGTGAAACATGTGAATTATGAATCAATATAAATACAAATTGGCAGCTTTTCTCAAAGAAGTATTGATTGAAGCTAATTGTATCTATATGGAATCCAATGTTGATCAGATAAATGGATCTTGAGCAATCTTGAAACCTCTGGTCCGGAATATTGATTGTTGATTCTTCAGAGGAATGGACCTGAGCTGAATCATCTGAATTATCTGAATCGGTGGATTGGGCTTTACTTTTGGATTTCCCTTTGAGCTGAACAGGAGGTGGAATGGGCCTTTGCCTTGACTTTGGACTGTGCTTTGGGCTTGGATTGGGCTGGTTGAGCAGCAACAGCTTTGGACTTTGATTTTGTTGATTTGGGCTTGGAGCCACTGGATGAGGGGCTGCCAAGGTTGACTGGAGGAAGACTGGGCTGGCTGCCTTGAGTGATTGCAGCAGTTGGTTCTGCTGGGCTTGAGCAAGAGCAGGAGTTGGAGCATATTGATCAGGTGGAAATTCTGCTGGAACAATTTCAAGAATTCTGGGAACATTGAATTATCCACCATTAACTGTGTGTTGCGGATGATAATATATCATCAATCCCATAATTCCATTTGAATATCCAGGGAACCTTATATTTGGCAATGAATATGAGTAATAGGGAAATTGCTTCTGGTGAGCAGAAATGTGGTAAACAGAGTTGAAATAATGAATTATATTTTTGGATCATCAGGAAGAATAGCTGAAATGGCGCCATAGTGAGACCACCATCTCAGAAACCAAGTTGGTAACTCAGATTTGAATTTTTGATCAAATGAGATGAACCAGGAATGACTGAAAGTTTCATTTTGGTACAAGAAAAT